GCAGTCGCAGTCGCAGTCGCAGTAGTCGTAGTAGTAGTAGTAGTAGTAGTAGTAGTAGTAGTAGTAGCAGTGGTGTAGCAGTAGTGTAGCAGTAGCAGTAGCAGTACCAGCGATAGTAGTGATAGTGGTAGTGAAGCACAGCCGGTATAGTGCTAGTGGCAGAGACAGTGGAAGTGGCAGTCGATGTGTGCTAACGATGCTGGCAGCAGTTGCAGTGTTATTTGTGGTAGTTGTCTTAGTAGTTGTTGTAGTCACATTCGTCATGGCGGTCGTAGTAGGCGTAGTCATAGTAGCAGTAGCAGCAGCAGCTGCAGAAGAAGTAGCAGTCGCAGTAGTAGTAGTAGTAGTAGTAGTAGTAGTAGTAGCAGCAGCAGCAGCAGCAGTAGTAGTAGTAGTAGTGGTAGTAGCAGTGGTAGTAGTTGTGGTGGTAGTAGTAGTAGTAGTAGTAGTAGTAGCTATAGGCTATAGTAGTAGTAGCTGAGCAGTAGTAGTTATAGTAGTAGTGGCAGCAGCAGCAGCAGTAGCAGCAGCAGCAGTAGCAGTAGCCGTCGCTGTAGCCGTAGTGATTGCGGTAGCAGTGGCGATGGCAGAAGTGGTGGTGCAGTGGTAATAGTGGTGGTGGTGAGGGGCGCGTCCCGGAATGACCCAGAGGCAGCCAGACTAATGTAAACACGAGAAGGATACGAGAATACGAGCAGGAATACAAGTCAGCAGCAGTACGGACTACAAGAGGACGAGAAAAGTACAAGGCAAACACAACTCTGAAGATACATGTATGTCCAGCGAGACCAAGCTTGATGTTGAAGACAGCCATAAATGGCCGTTAATGTGGTGCATGTCAAGACATGCACTGCACAAGAGGACAAGCAGTTACGGCTCTATGCAGATTGCGGAAACCATGCAGGCATCAGTCATGAAAGCATGAGCGCTCACACACTGCCTCGCACACTTGGTTTGTCAAGGAAGACGGAAAACTAGATGCAGATGCCCAAGCTACGACTCATCGTCCATGGCGCATCGTTTACTTTTGCAGGTACAGGAAACTGCGTCCAGTCTCCCTTCCAGTCCTTTCCGTAGCTTCGTTGGCATGGCTGGGGAAAGACCGCCTTGCCCCCTGCAATGTAGCATGAAAAGGAAAAAGGAAAAAGAAAGAACATATATTTGACGTCAGAGTCATGAGAAACCGTGAATGCAGACGCAGAACCTCGCATGAAATGGCTGCCAAACTCTTAGCGTGAATGCAAGTTTGTGGCATGTACAGAAGAATAACACGAACACACACGCAAGACCACCGGAAGTGCTTTCTTGCATTTCTCGTGTGGTTCTCGTATTTCGTTTGGACGTCGACCTCTCCAGTCTGTGTTGTCGTATTGTTTTGGTGTTTCTCTCGTAATCAGTTAGTTGATTTTCACTCTTGTCGAGTGATTCACTACCTGTGCACGTCACAATGGTAGATATGGCAGCTTTGGCAAAGGGGAGTCCTTCCGCCAGCAGCAATTTCCCCACCCCTTTGAGCCACAACCAAAACAGCGACAGTGGAAATCACGAGCACAGACATTGCGGCTCGGACGGTGGCAGTCGCTAGCAACGCAGCGAAGACAGTCCCTTCATCACACGTTCACGAACATACCAGCTGCCAGTAGCCAGAATACTCTGGCGCCTTGTGTTACAAGGACCGCTTGCCAACAAGACTTTTTTGCACGTGCAATCCACGGATCTTGAATAATATGGCCGGCTTTGAACACGTCCGGACGCGTGTGCACCAATGCGAAAGCAGAGCTGCAGCAGATGTCAACAGCTGCTTTCGTCGCTGATGCAAACAAACCGTGAGCACATTTTTGTTGTACGTTGATGATTATCGGAGAGCAAATCGCAGATCGAGCGCCGGTAAGCTTCATCATGGGCAGCGGCATGGTAATTACAGGCAGCTAGAGCATCGAATGCATCAAGAGCACACAACATGAACTCACAATTGATAGAGTAAGTCCAGCAGTCCATCGGTTTGGCGCAGATCTTCACGGCCTGGCTTGGCAGTTGTTGCATGCATCTTTTCGTGCACACATCTTTGCAATTTTTTCGAGATCTCTGGCCTCTAAAACGACGTTGTACATTCCGTCACACGCAGATCCCCAAAATGGTGCTGTAAGCGGCGAAATGGTACATCCCTCGACACATCGCTGGGGGATGCACTCATTCTCACTTGCAGGATCGCGACTGCACCCTGGGAACCGGCGCAGGAGGTGTTGCAGGAATCCCAGTGCAGACTAGGCTAGTGTGTCAATATTTGTTGCTCGCTTGCCAAGGTCCAAGCTGGAATGCACAAGCCCACTGGAATGCGAGTTGCGATCAAGACGGTGCCGTTTTCAAGGGTTGCAAGCGCGGAGTCCTGAATGGGTTCAATGCAGGTGAAGGTTGACAACAAAGAGAAGCGTGAACAGATGCTGCAGGAAATCAAGGGCCTCGTTCTTGCCACCTGGACGAAATGAAATAGACATGTATTCGGTCTTGACTCGAGATTTCCCTCCTGCTGTAGAAGAAGTTGCGTAAAGCAAGGCGCCTAGTCATTAATGAAAACTTGAACCCGCTTTAGTCGTAGCTTGTGAAAGACTTCCTGGCCGACTGCACTTGGCCCCTTGCATGTTCTTGGATGCAAAAGGCTGCTGGCTGTCCCTACTTGGTTCAGTGGTACGCCGGCTTCGTGGGCAAGGCTCGACAGGTGAAACATGCTCAGCAAGTGCACAGTGCTCTGAGTTTCAGGACACCGGGCTCGTGCACGTCGTCTTGCTCCGAGTTGGGTCGAGGAAGTTCTGCTCGATGCGTAGTTCCCAAATTCTGGAGGTCGTGGAGCTGATGGATAGGGGGAGCCTTGCCGACCTGCGGAGGCTTCACCACTGACTGCAGAAACGGTGTCACCCTGCCGCGGCTATTTGCAGACCGGCTTTCATTTTCCTTGCTCAGGCGTGTGGCTGCTCCTGTTCCGCGGGGACCATAGCTGCCAATACCTGCGCACAACTAGTTGCTGATGATTTTTTGTGCCGGTCTACCGACATCTCTGTTTCGCAGGGCTTAGGTGTCATGGCGTTTACAAGTGATGAGAAACATTGGGAACCTGTACCGCATAGGCATAAACGTCCAGTTGTAACGGTGTCGGCGGAGTTGACGATTGTAGCTATGCGCGTTGCAAATGCGACTGCCACAAAGGCGGTCCACACTTTTCCAGACCCGGTGCCCTTTCCGATTGTCCTGGTGTCTTGGTCTGGTTTCCGGTCTCTCGGCCGGTCGTTGTCCTAGTATCCTGGAATGCCAGTGTGCAGTCTCAAGGTCAGCCGTCGTCTCGGTGTCCTTCTCCGGCGCCTGTGCCCTGTGTCCGAGGTGTTTGATCGACCTGGTGTCTTGTCGTTCTTGTGTCTTGTCCACGGGTTGCGCCTGTCTCGGCCTTTCGACATGTTGCATTTCTCGAATAAATCACTGTCTTCGAGTATCGTGGCGGATGGGATGTCCCGATGTGCCGATGTTCAGTTTCTGGAGTCTCGGAGTGGTGTTTTGGTCGTGCTTCTTCTTGTGTGGCACGTTGCAATGTCGCTTCGAGCATCAGCCGCAATTCAAGCACTGCGATGTCCGTACACAAACCAACCAATCCATCTATCAAACCTCCAGCACGTGCGAGTCAAGCGCGTGAGATCGAGCACTTGCGATTCGAGACATTTGTTTTTGTTGCGGTTGTCGCAATTGTCGGCTTTACGATTGGCCGTGTAATGCCGTGTAGTGCGCGATTCGATTTCAACTTTTTGATGTCACTTTGCACAGGTGTGTTTTGTGCCTTGGCAGTTTTGGTGGGTGCCCATCGTACCAGTTTCGTGATGTCCCGCGTTTGATTTTGTATGGCTTTCTACTTAGTGCTACCATCAGGAGTTCAAAGTTGAGGTTTCTATTGTGTATTGTTTGGGAAGCCTGGGAATCCTTAACTCAACCTTAAGGAGGTTAGCCCCCCATGCCATCAAGAGGTTGTAAGAGAATCGAGTTTTCGATGCAAATCCAGTCTTAAGCGTTCCCAGGGTAAGGGGTTCAACTGTCAGGTGGAGCTGCTGTGAGGCTTCCCGGGCTGTTGCGAGCGGTTCCGGGCCATTCTGAACCTTTACCGAAGCGTTCCGAATCGTCCCAAGCCGTTCCGAGCCGTTCAGCGTCCGAATCGTTTCCGAACCGTCCTGAACCTTCCGAACCGTCCCGAAGCGTTCCTGAGGAGGGAGAGGGAGAGGGAGAGGGAGAGGGAGAGGGAGAGGCTCGGGACGGTCCGGATCGGTTCGGGACGGTTCGGGACGGTTCAGGACCGTTCAGGAACGGTTCAGGACGGTTCGGAACGGTTCGAAAAACAAACAGTCCGACAAAGTTCGGAGCAGCTCGGGACACAGCGCAGCCCACCGTTGTTGACTCTTCATCCGCTTGCTTAATTGTGTTGTCGAAGCCGCATCGAAGAGCACCCAAAGCACTCCAAACCCTGCCATCATCTC